TGTTCTCCAGACCCTTGATCATTTTAGTCGTCCTCCTCTGGACACATTCCAGCTTGTCAACTTCTTGTGTTGCCCAGATTTAGACACAATATTCCACGTGTGGTCTAACCAACGCAGAATAGAGCTTAGGGAGCATGACTTCTTCCCTAGATCTAGACACTATGCTCCTATTGATGCAGGACAACATCCCATTGGCTTTTTTTGCCGCCACATCACATTCCTGGCTCATGTTTAACTTGTTGTCCACGAGGACTCCAAGATCTTTTCCACACGTCCTGCTCTCGAGCCAGGCCTCATCGTCCCCCATTCTGTCTCTTTGCATTTCCTTTATTTCTGCCTCAGTGGAGTCTCTTGCATTTCTCCCTGTTGAACTTCATTTTGTTAGTTGTGGCCAATCATCCCTCTCATCTGTCAAGATAGTTTTGAATCCTGCTCCTGTCCTCTGGAATCTTGGCTCCCCCTCCCAATTGGGTGTCGTCTGCAAACGTGATGATCCTGCCTTCTAACTCTTCATCTAAGTCATGAATGAAGATCCTGAGCAGGACCGGGACCAGGACGGAACCCCGCTGATGGTCCTCTGCTCGTCACTTCTTTCCAGGATGAAAACGACCCATCTAGGCCAGTATTGCCTGCTGTGGTTTGCCGCAGTGCATTCTGGATTGCCGTGCAAACGTTTTCCTTGTCTGCACTCTTGTCACCCAAGCGGATGAAGAGAAAGCATTCCTAAGTACAGGGAAGAGGCCAACTACAGTGCCGGAGCTTAGATAAGGTCGGGGTAATTCTCAAGTGAACCGCCTAGTCAAAGGCACAACGGAGCAAGCAAGTTTTTCATTCCTTGCAGAAAATGGGGAGAGTGGGGGCCTGTCTGATCTCCGTAGGAAGAGAGTTCCAGAGCCAAGGGGCCACCACGGAGAAGGTTCTCCCCCTTGTCCCCACCAACCGCACTTGAGACAGCGGTGGGAGCGAGAGAAGAGCCTCCCCAGAGTAAGTCCTGGTTCATAGGGCAAGATGCGATCGCGAAGATAGGCAGGTCTCAAACCGTTTAGGGCTTTGTAGGTGATCACCTGCACTTTGTATTGGGACTGGAAACTTATTGGCAGGCAATGGAGCTGTTTGAACAGGGGGGTGACCGCTCCCTGTAACCAGCTCCCGTTAGTAATCTGGAGAGTGCAAACAATCTATATATATATAAATGCAATGTTCGTTTGTGGGATTAACATAACTCAAAAACCACTAGACAAATCGACACCAAATTTGGACAGATTACACCTAACAACCCAAGGAGTGACCATCACTCAAAAAATTGATTTTGTCATTTGGGAGTTGTCATTGCTGGGATTTATAGTTCACCTACAATCAAAGAGCATTCTGAACTCCACCAATGATGGAATTGAACTAATCTTGGCACACAGAACTCCCATGACCAACGGAAAACACTAGAAGGGTTTGGTGGGCATTGACCTTGAGTTTGGGAGTTGTAGTTCACCTACATCCAGAGAGCACTGTGGACTCAAACAATGATGGATATGGACCACACTTGGCACAAGCACTCAATACGTCCAAATATGAACACAGATGGAGTTTGGGGGAAATAGACCCTAACATTTGGGAGTTGTAGTTCATAGAATCACAGAATCAAAGAGTTGGAAGAGACCTCCTGGGCCATCATCCAGTCCAACCCCATTCTGCCAAGAAGCAGGAATATTGCATTCAAAGCACCCCTGACAGATGGCCATCCAGCCTCTGTTTCAAAGCAGAGTTTAAAAGTTACAGGGATTTATAGTTCACCTATAATCAAAGAGCATTCTGAACCACACCAATGAGAGAATTGGGCCAAACTTCCCACAACTGAAGGCCACCCAGTCCAACTCCCTTCACCAGGGCAAGAAAATGTAATCAAAGCCCTCCCAACAAAGAGCCATCCAGTCATAGATATAGATAGATAAATGGATATGATTCACACAGAGAGCGAGATATAGTATCATAGATTGGAAAGGGACCCCTAAAGAAGGACAATGATATGTGGCATGTTCCAGAGTGGACAAACCAGACACTCTCCACATCAACATTGACACAGAAACAACAAAAAGTACTGTTTACCCACAAGCAGAAAGGAATGACGTATATTAGAAAGCATTACTTTATTTTCCAGATCACCAGATTGGGCCACAGCAACGCGTGGCAGGGGACGGCTAGTGCCTAGAATACAACCACGGGACAGTCAAGCGGCGAGCTTAGGCAACAACATTATTCCGCTCTCCTATACGAAATCAGAGCCAAGCGAAGCATCAGGTGTCAACTGAAATGGTTTCTGAGCAATTTGTCTTACCCACTCTCTTATTAAAGTCATTTTATACTCCCTCTCACTATCTCCCTGCAATAAGGAAGGGAACGTAAAGATTTCTGAAGTCGTTGGGTTGCTGTAATGGAAATTCTTCTTAAACATGTAAAGCGACGCCGATGCTTGCTTATATCTCCATAAATGCAAATGAGGCTGAAAATCTCGGGAAAGGCGCTCACAGACTGGCAAGGATAAAAGTATGTCTCCGGGGTGAGATGCACGGCTGGGGGAAGGCGTGCGCTTTTAAATAGAACACCTTTACATTTTCTCAGCCTCCGGAGGAGAGCCGGTCCTTTTAACGTGAGGAGGGCGGAAGTCTGGATGCGACGGAAGCGCCCAAGGCGGAAGCGCCTGGCCCTTGCTCCAAAAGGCCTCCGGGCCCTTCCCTCATTGGCCTCTTACTACATCTCACTGTCCAAATCTGCTCCGAGATTTATTTATTTATTTATTTATTATTGTATTTGTATACCGCCTTTCTCAGCCTACCGGCGACTCAAGGCGGTTTCCAACAAAACAGTATACACAATAAAATTATAAATTATAACAGCTAAAATTATAACAGCTAAACAACAGAGAGGAAAAAACCAGGCACAGATTAACACCTCCCAGCAACAGATTTTCCCAGGCTCAGGCAGGCCTTCAAATGCTAATGAAGGTGATCAGCCAAACATTCACACCTAACTGCAGCAGGGAAGAGCTCCTTGCCCCACCCCAGCCATTCCACAGATATATAAACCCATTTTTCCTACTTCCAACAGACCTCAAACCTCTGAGATGCTTGCCATAGATGCAGGCGAAACGTCAGGAGAAATGCCTCTAGAACATGGCTCTATAGCCCGAAAAAACCCACAAGAACCTAGTATACAATATCATAGTACAATTGAGACATTAAACAACATAAAGCACAACAAGCAATAAAAACAACACAATTAGCGTCTCCTTATTGTCCAGTTCTGTTGCATCCCAGACCAAGAAACGAGACCATAAGATTAAATCCACCACGCTGGACTGTAGGAAAAACAATCCTTGTTTATTGATGAAAAATTGGTTACAAAAGAAAGTTAAATGCAAAGTCAAAAAGCCACCATAGAAACACAGCAGTCAGGAAAATCTCTGAACTTGAGCAAAATTCCAAAAACCACAAGACAAGAACCAGGAACCTGTTAGCCTCTCGCTAACCATGTACTTGAAAAACTAGAAGCCTCTGGGATTACCGGCCATGGAACACAGGAATTCTGCCAAGGCACAGCCATAGTCCCAAACGTTGCTTGATCTAAGGAGGCACCCGGCAGGCGGCCCCTTAAACCAAAGAAACTATTCCTTGAAACGCCCCTTGACTTTGAAGCCTGAGCCTGTCTCTCCTGTAATCTATTTGACCTTCGTAGGAACTGTGAATCACTCCTGTCTCTCGTTATCTGTTCCCTTCGGTCCTCATTAAAAAACCCAGGTGGAGAGCTATCACGGCTGGATTCCAAAACATTTTCATCCGGCTGTTCAGTTTCGCTTTCCTCGCCGCTGAACTCAGCATCAACACCAGTTTCCACATTGTCAGGGAAAACTCCATGTTCAGTGGCTTGCTCAGTTGGAAATACAATCAGAGAATCAGGTTCACACAGATCAGGCTGAACCCCAACAAGTTCCATCGTCAAATCGTCAGATTTCCTATATCAGTTACCTATATCCATTACTCTGTGTTTGTGAACGCTTGCTCGAACAGCCATGTTTTAACTTGCTTCCGAAACGTTAAGAGGGAGGGAGCAGATCTGATTTCCCTTGGGAGGGTGTTCCATAGCCGAGGGGCACCACTGAGAAGGCCCTGTCTCTCATCCCAAATGTACCTGTGACGAAGGCGGGGCCAAGAGCAGGGCCTCCCCAGATGATCTTTAGGTCTTAGATGGTTCATAAGGGGAGATGCGCTTGGACATGTAAGTTGGGCCAGAACTGTTTAGGGCTTTATAGGCTAAGGCCAGCACTTTGAATTGTGCCCTGGAGCCAGTGGAGCTGGTGTAACAGAAGAGTTGTATGCTCCCTGAGCACTGCTCCTGTTAGCAATCTGGCTTCCGTTCGTTGGGCCATTTGAAGCTTCCAGATAGTCTTCAAAGGTAACCCCACGTAGAGCGCGTTGCAGTAATCAATGCGGGATGTAACCAGAGCATGGACTACCATGGCCAAGTCAGACTTTCCAAGGTACGGGTGCAGCTGGCGCACAAGCTTTAATTGTGCAAATGCTCCCCTGGTCACTGCCGAAACCTGAGATCACCCGGTTTTCGCAACAACAGAAGCAGAACTCTGCAGCGGATGTAACGTCGGCACATCGAGGAAATCTGTCCACATTCCCATCCTGAAACTTACAAGTTATCACGGGGGCCAGAGCAATCATACATTTTTATATACTGAAACCAATGTTGCTTTTGGGATTCTTAATATATTTACATAGTGTTGGAGTGTCTTACCTACCCTCCATTATAATAATACCTAAACATTCAGATTTTAAAAAAAATGCAAGTTAGGATTTGCAAATGCTTTTCGTGGGCTTCTTCACCCAAAAGTGCCGTGGGGTGGACATGTACTCCTCGCCCCCGTGTGACAACCAGGCCTCTCCAGACAGATGGTGGAAATGCCTGCAACGCATCGCACGGAAATGTACTTTTCTACTTACTTTTTCAAAGGCTCTATGACTGTCTTTTGGATTTGGTTCACCTGGCAAAAAAAAAGAAAGAAAAGAAATATAGTTTCTCAGGACTGATGAGGAAGGCTATTTGCATGGCAAGGGCAGCCTGCAACTAAATATTTTTGCCACCTCAACAACAGCAGCAACAACAATAATAATAATAATAATAATAATAATAATAAACTTTATTTATACCCGGCCACCATCTCCACAAAGGGGACTCAGAGCGGCTTACACGAGGCCAAGCCCAGCGATACATTACAGCAACATCAAATATAAACAACAAAATAACATAACAACGTATTGTCGAAGGCTTTCATGGCTGGAATTACTGGATTGTTGTAGGTTTTTTGGGGCAATATGGCCATGGTCTAGAGGTATTCTCTCCTGATGTTTCGCCTGCATCTATGGCAAGCATCCTCAGAGGTTGTGAGGTCTGTTCGAACTAGGAAAAAGGGTTTATATATCTGTGGAATGACCAGGGTGGGACAAAGGACTCTTGTCTGCTGGAGCTAGGTGGGAATGTTTCAGCTGACCACCTTGATTAGCATACAATGGACTGACTGTGCCTGGGGCAAACTTTTGTTGAGAGGTAATTAGATGTCCCTGCCTGCTTCCTCTCTGTTGTTTTGCTGTTCTAATTTTAGAGTTTTTTAATGCTGGGAGCCAGATTGTGTTCATTTTCATGGTTTCCTCCTTTCTGTTGAGATTGTCCACATGCTTCTTGTGGATTTCAGTGGCTTCTCTGTGCAGCCTGACATGGTGGTTGTGAGAGTGGCCCAGCATTTCTGTGTTCTCAGATAATCTGCTGTGTCCAGGCTGGTTCCCCAGGTGCTCTGCGATGGCTGACTTCTCTGGTTGACGGAGTCTGCAGTGCCTTTCCTGTTCCTTGATGCGTGTCTGGGCAATGCTGCGGCTGCGTTTGGTGGTCCCTATGTATCTTGAGAAGACAGACACGCTGGACCACTCTAACATGAGTCCAAGCCCAAAATTGCAGTCCAGCAAAATAAAATACAAAGAGGCAAAAATACCATCAAAATAAATACATGAAATAACAAAATAAAATAAACAGATTCAGAATAACGTGATAGAGAGATAGAACACAATGGGCGGGCCAGATGCACTAGGATAAAATTGATAAAATTGATAAACCCCTGGATGAGATAAGTGGTGGGAGAATGTGTTTCGGAGGGAGGGGCTCAAAAAGGAACAAACAATGGGGTTAGACCTTCATTAAGGGCGGGGGGAAAGCGCATCATGAGGACGGAACTATAGTCGGGACAGGCAAATCTAGAATGTATGCTCACTCATGCCAAAGGCACATCAGAAGAGTCAAGTTTTAAGGTCTTTCTTTAAAAGTTGCCAGGGTAGGGGCTTGCCTAATCTCACTAGGCAGCAAGTTCCAAAGCCGAGGGGCCACAGTGGAGAAGGCTCTGTCCCTCGTCCCCATAAGTCGTACTTGGGATGAAGGTGGGAGTGAAAGGAGGGCCTCCCCAGAGGATAGAAGAGATTGTGCAGGTTTATGGAAGGAGATGCAGTCGTGAAGGTAGCATTGAATGGCCTTGTAGCTTCAAACCCTGGCTGATTGCTGCCTGGGGAAATCCTTTGTTTGGAAGGGTTAGCTGGCCCTGATTGTTTCTTGTCTGAAATTCTCGTGTTTTTTTAAGTGTCGCTCTTTATTTATCATGTCAGATGACACAGAGAAGCAACTGAAATCCGTAAGCATGTGGAGCATTTCAAAAGGAAGGAGGAAACCGTGAAAACGAACAAAACCTGGCTACCAGTTTAAAAATAAACCTCTAAAACGAGGGCAGTAAATAAAGAGCGGCGTCTCCCCTTCCTCTACACACACACAGGCGCTTGCATTTACCTTTTCTTGGTTAAAAGAATCCATTCTCTTCAACGCGGTGTCCAGGGCCATCACCATCTCAAGAAACTGAGGGTCTTGCTCGCAGAGCGGGTTGGACAGGAGGTCGGAGGAGATTTTCACAGAGGACTTGGACATGGCTGCCGAGGACAAAGCGGGGGGGGGGGGGGGGGGGGGTGTCAATGGCCAAGACTGTATAATTCCTCATATAAACATGTATGTGTGTGGGGTAGGGTGGGGGGGCACTAGAATACTTTCCAATACAGAACAAGTTCAAAGCGGGGACGTCCAGATCCATGGTTCAGCCTCCAGGCCACAACGCTTATTTATTTATTTACAATATTTCTATTCGGCCCTTCTCCTCACCCCGCAGGGGACTCAGGGCGGATTACAGTGTACACATATATGGCAAACATTCAATGCCAATTTGACATACAACGTATACAGACATACACAGAGGCTATTTCACTGTTTCTGTCCGCAGCGGAAGCGTGCTGGGCCCATAACCTTGTTGTCAGACTGAGACCCTGAGGTCTACGCGCAGCGGAATTGAGGTTACTAGATCACACAGACACAAAAACAGGACACTGCAGTCTTCCAGTTTCAGAAATAACTTCAAGTTTACTTAGTACATCTCAATACACGTCTACTTCTCAGCGGGCTACATCATGAACTACAAAGCACAGCACAAAACAGTTTTCAGAACATCTGCTTATCAGTTTCACTTTGGCTGTAAGCCGGCAACTCCCTAATTCTTCCCAGACAGAGACATCCGTTATCTAACTTCTGTCAAGGTCTTTTCTTCTCTGCCTCTCTGTCTCTAACAACAACAATTCCAGTATACAACTGAACATAACTGAATCCATCTTGAATACATATTAATCACATTGAAAAACATACATGCATACCTTCAATAATTCTGACATTTTCATCGTCCATCTGAGACACTGATGAAGTACTTCCGCATTCCCTGCATGCTTTTTGCTGGAGTGCTTTGCTGGAGTCTTTTTTTATGGCCTTGTAAATTAGTTAATTTAGCCTCCCCACACTTTAAGGTGGTACCTAATTTTCCTACTTGACATTAGCGCCTCAACAGTAAAATCAGAATCCAGTCTCATCATCCATTATTCCGTATTCCTATGTTCAATTACACTGTTTAATCAAATGCTTGTTCGAACAGCCAGGTCTTCACTTTCCTCCGAAATGCCAGCAGGGAGGGGGCCGATCTGATATCTGCAGGCAGGGCGTTCCACAGCCGAGGGGCCACCACTGAGAAGGCCCTGTCTCTTGTCCCCGCCAAGAGCCCTGTGATGCAGGCGGGACAGAGAGCAGGGCCTCATGCTTCCCCGGTGGAATGCTTTGCTGGAGTCTTCTTTATGGCCTCATAAATCAGTTAATTTAGCCTCCCCACACTTTAAGGTGGTACCTAATTTTCCTACTTGACAGATGCAACTGTCTTTCGGTTTGCAAAGGTCGACAACAGGCTACACACAATTGGTTGGAAACCCACTCCAACCCGGGCTGGCTTCGAACTCATGGCCTTTTGGTCAGAGTGATCTTAATGCAGCTGACACTCAGCCAGATGCGCCACAATCCCGGTGCTTACACAGCGTGGTGCTTCCCTGTTCTTTTCAGATGGAGATTCCAGTCTCCAAAGTGCTGCATTCGTTTATCCTCGAAAGAATCCCGAATGTTATCCTGTTAGTGTGTAGATCTTGCTCACAACCACTTGCAAAGCTGCAGGCTGAGCTCAGGTCTCTCTATTCCAAGGCCTGTGCCATGAATCACACTCCAATTGTGTGTCAAGGGCTTTTTAAACCAACTTTTCAGGAACTCCTGTCTGGAGAACAAGCAGAAGCACAAAGAGCAAACACTCCACCGAGCCCGAAATGCTAATGGGAAGCTTTCCAGGAATTCAGCTGCACTAATGGCTCGGAAGAAGAGCTATTAATGAATTTGGGTAAATGCAGGCATAATAGCTTTTCTATATCCAAGTCCATACTATTTATAATGCTGCGCAAGTAAGGTTCTCTTTGGAAGCCGAGCCTTTCTCTCCAAGTGGCGAAGCCCGGCTTCCTCCTGCTGCACCTCTTCCAAAACAAAACAGATCGCAGCCTAGGAAGCCTTTGCACCTTTCCAGTAGTTACAAAGATTATCCCACTTACCTTGGAGCAAGACCCTTCGAACACAGTAGACAACGTACCGTAGATACTCAAGTATAAACCGAGTTATTCAGCCCTTTTTTTAGGGGCGCAAAAGCCCCCCTCGGCTTATACTTGAGTCACAGTTATTTATTATTTTACTTTATTTATATTACATTTTATTACATTTATTATTTTATTTTTGTTACATTTATTAATTTACTCTATTCATTATTATTATTACATTCACATTATTTTACTCTATTATTACTATTTATTTACATTTATTATTTTACTCTATTATTATTATTGCTACTATTACATTTAGGTTATTTTACTTTATTTATGATTATTATTACATTTATTCTTTTTCTCTATTATTATTGTTGTTATTACTACATTTACAGTATTTTACTCTATTTAGTATTATTATTACATTTATTAATCTACTCTATTCATTATTATTATTACATTCACATTATTTTACTCTATTATTACTATTTATTTACATTTATTATTTTACTGTATTATTATTATTGCTACTATTACATTTAGGTTATTTTACTTTATTTATGATTATTATTACATTTATTCTTTTTCTCTATTATTATTGTTGTTATTACTACATTTACAGTATTTTACTCTATTTAGTATTATTATTACATTTATTAATCTACTCTATTCATTATTATTATTACATTCACATTATTTTACTCTATTATTACTATTATTTACATTTATTATTTTACTCTATTATTATTGCTACTATTACATTTAGGTTATTTTACTTTATTTATGATTATTATTACATTTATTCTTTATTATTATTGTTGTTATTACTACATTTACAGTATTTTACTCTGTTTAGTATTATTATTACATTTATTATTTTACTCTATTATTGCTGTTATTATTACATTGACATTAATTTACTCTATTATTACTATTTTATTTACATTTATTATTTTACTCTATTATTATTGCTACTATTACATTTAGGTTATTTTACTTTATTTATGATTATTATTACATTTATTATTTTTCTCTATTATTATTGTTGTTATTACATTTACAGTATTTTACTCTATTTACTATTATTATTATTATTATTATTATTATTATTACATTTATTATTTTACTCTATTCATTATTATTATTATAAAACATCTGGGCAACGTCCCCTGGGCAATGTCTTTGCAGACAGCCAATTCTCTCACTCCAGAAGTGACTTGCAGCTTCTCAAGTCGCTTCTGACATGAAAATAAAAAAAAATACTTTATTATTATTATTACTATTACTATTTATTATTATTGGAAGGATACGTAAGCACATTTACATTAAAGAAGGATAGAATAATGTTTGAATCAGAGTTGGAGAGTCATAAGTTACAGTTTTATGCAAATATTCAAAAACATTTAACCTACTGAGGCCTCAATTAAAGTAAATTTATTGGTATCAATTTTTATTTTGAAATTGACGCATAGCGGCTGCATTTCCCACCCTCGGCTTAGACTCAAGTCAATATGTTTTCCCAGATTTTTGTGGTAACATTAGGTGCCTCGGCTTATATTCGGGCAGGCTTATACTCGAGTATGCATGCATGCTGAATATTTGGAAAGTCTAGTATATGTTAAGAGAGGAAATTCTGGTTTCCCCAGATGTGGTGGGGCTCAACGTCCATAAGCTTCAACCGGCATAGGAAATAATGATGGATGATGGAATCTATTTATTTATTTATTATTTGGACTTCTATGCGGCCACTCCCTTCCCTGGGGCTCGGAGCAGCTTACAAGAATGGCTAAAATCTAACACAATTTAAAAGCCATTTAAAACAATTTAAAAACAACAATATCAAACATTAAAAGCCTGTCGAAATAGATAGTCTTACATGCCCTGCGGAAAGCTGATAAGTCCTGCAAGGCACGGACTTCAGGTGGCAGAGTATTCCAGAGTGATGGTGCCACTGCTGTGAAGGCTCTGCGTCTGGTTGCTGTTAGACGCAAGGTCTTGACACTGGGGACTTCCAATAGATCTTGGTCCTCAGAACGGAGGGATCTCTGTGGTTGGGAGGGGGTGAGGCGGTCCCTCAGGTACATCGTCCCCAGACCATGCCAGGCCTTCAAGGTGAGTACCCATCCCTTTGAAAGTGATCCGGTGCTCAATGGGTAACCAATGCAGCTGGAGTCAGATTGGGGTGATGTGGCATCTCATCGGAATTCCCACCTGAATTTTGTACCAACTTGAGCTTCCGGATCACCGACAGAGGAAGGCCAATGTAGAGGGCGTTACAGTAGTCCAGTCTTGAGATGACCGTGGCCTGGATCACCGTAGCTAGGTCGTCCCTGGACAGGTAGAGGGCCAGCCGTCTAGCCTGCCGCAGGTAAAAGAAGGCGGTTCTGCTCACGGCGGAGACCTGGGCCTCCATTGTCAGCAGAGGGTCCAAAAGGACTCCCAGACTCTTGACCAATGATGACGGGCATAGTGCCTCGCCATCCAGGGTAGGCAGCTGGACGTCCCCACTGCCCAGCTGACCCAGCCATAGGATCTCCGTCTTTGCCAGATTCACCCTCAACCTGCTGGCACGCAGCCATCCAGTCACGGCCTCGAGGCACTGAGGGAAACAGTCGGGTCCAGAGTCTGGTCGGCCTTCCATCCTCAGCACCAGCTGAGTGTCATCGGCGTACTGATAACACTCCAGCCCAAAACCTCGAACCAGCTGAGCAAGTGGTCACATAGAGATGTTAAAGAACAGAGGGGAGAGAATGGCCCCCTGAGGAGGAACCCCACAAGAGAGAGAGAGAGGGGACCTCTCAGAGACCAGGCCTCCCCTCTCCACTCGCTCTCCACGGTTGTGAAGGAAGGAGGGGAGCCAGTTCAAAGCTGCCCCCCTGACTCCAACAGCAGCAAGGCGGTGGGTCAAAAGATTGTGGTCAACTGTGTCCAATGTTATTTTATTTATTTATTTACTTCGCTTATATACCGCAATTCTCAGCCTAATGGCGACTCATTGCGGTGTACAACATAGAAAAACAGGTGCAAAATACAACATAAAATAAAATAATCCACAGTACATAATTATCAAAACATCTCATCAAAAACATCAACCTTACTACAAGCCATTCCAAGTCGTCTCATCGTCAAGTTCACAATCCGATACCATTTCCGTTGTTCCATTCCTATGGTCAAGTTACCAGTCATTGCACTTCTATTCAAATGCCTTCTTAAACAACCAGGTCTTTAGCTTCCTGCGGAATATCAACAGGGAGGGGGCTAGCCTGATGTCTACGGGAAGGGTGTTCCACAGCCGAGGAGCCACCACCGAGAAGGCCCTATCTCTCGTCCCCACCAGCCGTGCCTGTGACGCAGGTGGGATCGAGAGCAGGGCCTCCCCGGAAGATCTCAAAGTCCTCGTGGGCTCATAGGCCGAGAGGCGGTCAGTTAGGTATCTTGGGCCGGAACAATGTTGCTGTGAGAACCAATGACACAAGCAGCGCTGACCCACCCTGGTCAAGCTGGCATCGAAGGTGATCCGTGATGGAGACCAGCACAGTCTCTGTCCCGTGTCCCGCACAGAAGTCGGACTGGAAGGGATGTAGTCCGGCTGTGTCGTCTAGGAATTGCTGCAACTGCTCCGCCCTCTCCATCACCTTGCCCAGGAACGAGAGATTCTGGGCGGTAACTGGAGGGAACCGAGGGATCTAAGTCTGGTTTCTTCAGCAGGGGAAAGGCCACCGCCTCTTGTAAACCCTCTGGAAAAACTCTATAGTGCAACGATGTTCAGAAGGCCATAGCTTCCTATCTCTGAAGTGGGGGAAGTACCAGAATGAAGACAGGATAAGGTCCCCCTCCAGAATAAAAATGGGATGGAGAATCAGCAAGGTGGAGGCAGGACCCAGCCAGGCTTGAGAATCAACTTTTCAAGATCGGGACGCAGGAGTTGGTGGGATGGGAACAGAACAAAAGTCTCAGGCCAGACTTTTGCTTGGCCTGAGAACAACGTGTTAGCCGTTCACTCTGGTGACATCCTTAGCTCTTTGCCTTGGGAAGGGAATGGGTCCGAACATCCCCCTGGACATGTCACTGATTCTTCCTAACCCCATTCAATCAGGCTTGGATATGTCCCAGTGTCTATTCACCAGTTTGAGGGACAAGCAACCCAAGAAAAGGCCCCCCTCGCGCCCTAATTCAGGGTGACAGGCCTCTAAATGCAACCATCAGCTCCTGATATCTGGACAGAGGCTGAGCTAATTTGTGGAGACGCCATAAGGCTGAAGGGGTGGGAAAAGCCTCCCACGGACACTTCGGAGCCTATGGCCATCCACATACAACCGCCCACTGAAAGGGAAGAGAAAGGAACTTTCTGCAAGGAAAAATCGACCCAGGAAATGTCAATAACAGCCAAGGAAAGAGTACTTTTTTTTAACAGAATTGTTACTTGTGATCCAAAGCAGGAATGTTTGCGTGCACGGCCACCTTTCCATCTATATAAATGAAAATGTCATGTTCGTTTGTGGGAGCAACAGAACTCAAAAACCACTGGACAAATTGGCACCAAATTTGGACACAAGACCCCTCTCAGGCCAGGGAGTGACCATCACTCAGAAAAACACCGAAAAACAGAGCGGAAGGGACTTTAAAAGCCCAAAAAACCAAAAAACATATTACAACATGTACACATATAAACACACAAATACACAAATATATACACACATATATATACACACATATACACAATATGCATGTAAACATATAAACACACAAATACACAAATACATATACACACACACATATATATGCAAACACACATACATACACAGATATATACACACATATACACACTCAAAACACATATACACAGACTGGGCCACAGCAATGCATGGCAGGGGATGGCTAGTAGTAAATAAATAAATGAATAAATGCATAAATAAATAAATTCTGATCCCTGAGGAAACACAAGAGAGAGGAAAGGGACCATGCGGCAATATCCAACACACAAGGTAACACACACACACACACACACCAAAGCCAAACCATCCTTTGGGAATGCATTACTACTCAGGGCGTCCACATGACCCACCGAGGTCTGCGTCTGTGCTTTTCTTCATGTCTTTCTGGAGCTTCTTTGTCTGATCCTCCAGCCTAAAAAAAGGAAATTGAGTATGATTTTGATTTTTTTAAAAAAACATTAAAAAGCATTTATAGTAAGAATCTTCTAACTTTAAGCAATCTGCTCTAAAAAACAAAAGGGAAAAACAAGAGGGGAGATGCCCCACAAATGGAAATATAAAGGGAGAGTCATGCATGCCAGCAAATGGGGCCAAGTAAGAATTAACGTCAACGCAACCAGGTAGGTAATTTCTCTTTCGTGGCCTGTTCTTATGGATTTGTCCATCATATGTCACACAGGGTGCATGTAAGCATAGCTCTCCCACACCAGTGCCAGCTGCATTAAGATCACTCTGACCAAAAGGTCATGAGTTCGAAGCCAGTCCGGGTTGGAGTGGGCTTCCAACCAATTGTGTGTAGCCTGTTGTCGACCTTTGCAACTCGAAAGACAGTTGCATCTGTCAAGTAGGAAAATTAGGTACCACCTTAAAGTGTGGGGAGGCTAAATTAACAGATTTATGAGGCCATAAAAAAAAAAGACTCCAGCAAAAAAAGCATGCGGGGAATGCGGAAGTGCTTCATCAGTGTCGCAGATGGACGAGGAAAGCGACAGCTCCCCTGGTGGCCAGAAAAAGTTAAATAGCCTCTGTCTATGTCTGTATATGTTTGTATGTCAAAAATTGGCATTGAATGTTTGCCATATATGTGTACACTGTAATCCGCCCTGAGTCCCCTGCGGGGTGAGGAGAAGGGCGGAAGAGAAAAGCTGTAAATAAATAAATAAATAAATGTGGTCAGAGGAAGAATACAGTGCGTAAGGCCCAGTGACTGGCTCCCCCTCGTCCCTACATTGCGGTTTTTCACTTATCGCGGGGGTTCTGTTGCAGGAACCCCCGCGATAAGTGAAAAATCACGCAATGTAGGGACGAGGAAGAGGAGGAGGAGGGGAGGGGGAGCCAGTTGCTGGGCCTTACCCTGGGGCTTGTTTCCGGGCTTGTCTCTCCTCCTCTTCCTCGTCCCTCGGCGAGGGAACACTATATTGGGTTCTTGTGAGTTTTTTGAGCTGTATGGCCATGTTCCAGAAGCATTCACCTCTCCATGTTTGCCTGACCTCTATGGCAGGCATCCTCAGAGGTTGTGAGGCTCTGAGCAAAACATACAGGCCCGTAGCCAGGATTTCGTTTCGGGGGGGGGGGGGGCTAAAAAATTTTCGGGGGGTTTCGGGGGGGGGCTGAGTTTCGGGGGGGGGGCTGAGTCTGAGTGAAAGAGGGTCTAGCCTAGCAAACCTTTTGTATTATTACCCCAATACCCCCATGCATATGGGATATATTGATTATGGTGATCAGATCATGATATGAATAAACATAAGTTTAAATAATGCACCAGTAAGGCCTTTTCGCGAACCACCATCAGAATTTCGGGGGGGGCTGAAGCCCCCCAAGCCCCCCCCCCGGCTACATGCCTGCTGCAAGCGAAACGTCAGGAGAGAATGCTTCTGGAACATGGCCATACAGCTCAAAAAACTCACAAGAACCTAGTGATTCTGGCCATGAATGCCTTCGACAATACATGGAAGAATATTGCTTTACAGTAGCGTTTCTCCACCGGGGGGTCGAGACCACTGGTGGGGTCACGAGGGGGTGCCAGAGGGGTTGCCAAAGACCATCAACACATAGTATTTTCCGTTGGTCATGGGGATTCTGTGTGGGAAGCTTGGCCCAGTTTCTATCGTTGGTGGGCTTCAGAATGCTCTTTGATTGTAGGTGAACTATAAATCCCAGCAACTGCAACTCCCAAAAGTCAAGGTTTATTTTCCTCAAACTCCACCACTGTTTGCTTTTGGGCATATTGAGTATTCTTGCCAAGTTTGGTCCAGATCCATCATTGTTTGAGTCCACAGTGCTCTCTGGATGGAGTGAACTACAACTCCCAAACTCAAGGTCAATGCCCACCAAACCCTTCCAGTATTTTCTGTTGATCATGGGGGTTCAGAATGCTCTTTGATTGTAGGTGAACTATAAATCCCAGCAACCTTAACTCCCAAATGACAAAATCTAGCCCCCCCCCCCCCAACCAGTATTCAGATGTGGGTGTATCAGGCATTTGTGCCAAATGTGGTCCAGTGAATGAAAATCCATCCTGCATATCCAATATTTACATTATCATTTATAAGAGGAGCACAATGGCAGTTATGAGGTAGCAACAAAAATAACGTGATGGTTGGGGGTCACCACAACATGAAGAACTATCTGAAGGGGTCGCGGCATGAGGAAGGTGGAGAACCACTGCTTTACAGCCTGGCTTTGCAAGAGTTGCTGCTTACAGACAAGGGCAGGATGAGATCCAGGCCCAAAACACAATTCTGCCAGAAAGATTCGCCAGGCTAAAGTGACTCACGAAGGAAGACCAGACCAGCCTGAAGTCCAGAGGCCGTCCAGATATTTAGTTACAACTCCGTAGTAGTCCTGTTACAAAACTCCCACACGGAAGGCAGGCATCTTGTATAGGCATTATCTCGGCACATGGATCATCTAGGCGCATAAACAGGGAGCAGCATTCCTATGTGAGGTGGCTGCCAGTTGCCGCCAGGAGTTAGTTGTTTGTGTGTACCTAGTAGGCATATGCGATGCATTAAAAATTGTTCAAAAGGGTTTTTGGAACCTTAATGAAACTTACGAATCTTCATAAGTACTTTGTTAATGGCACTCGTAAATGCACAATAGGGAAAACATCACTGGCCAGGGGGAAACTTCAGGGGCTCCTCTCTTCCACATTGTTTGAGCTATCCTGATGAAACTTGCTATAGTGGTAGAACACATTTACCACTGTTAGCCCACCAAATTTCATGACGTTTGACTTGCCCATGAATTTTTGGTCAATTTTTAAAGTTGTGTTCTAAAGTAAGGGGCGCTGGGACTTCTTTTCTAACGCTCTTTCCAAATTTTTGGAACCTTAATGAAACTTACAAATTTTCGTAAGTACATTGTTAATGGCACTCGCGAATGCACAATAGCAGAAAATACTGGTAGGGTTTGGTGGGTATTGACTTTGAGTTTTGGAGTTGTAGTTCACCTACATCCAGGGAGCATTGTGGACTCAATCAATGATGGACATGGACCAAACTTGGCACAGATACTCAATATGCTCAAGTGTGAACACTGGTAGAGTTTGGGGAGAAACCTTGATATTTGGGAATTGTAGTTGCTGGGATTTATAGTTATCCTACAATCAAAGAGCATTCTCAACCCCACCAATGGCACTATTGGGCCGAACTTCCCACACAGAACTCCCATGGCCAAGAGAAAATGCTGCGTTTTCTGATAGTCTTTGGCGACCCCTCTGACACCCCCCATGTCTTTCTCTAGGGGTCCCGACCCCCAGGTTGAGGGGCACTTCCCTATAAGGAGAGTGAGGGAAAGGCACCGGGTCAAGAACAGGTTGCAGAGAATCCAAGATGGAACAGGAAGCACACCAAGTACTGGCAATAAGAAGAAGCAACAAGGCCAGTGGTTCTCAACCTGGGGTCCCCAGGTGTTTTTGGCCTACAACTCCCAGAAATCCCAGCTATTACCAGCTGTTAGGATTTCTGGGAGTTGGAGGCCAAAAACATCTGGGGACCCCAGGTTGAGAACCACTGCAATAGAGCAATGGGGGGAAAAGCAGTTGTCAGGAACACTTACTGTTGAAGCTTTCCATATTCGCGTTCAAAATCCCTCTCGACCTGTTAAAAAAGGGGGAACGAAACCAGCTTAAAACCTCAGAAGATAATTTAAAACGCAAACCCATATTCTTCCCCTCAATGCAATGCAATGCCTAGGAATAAACTACAAACAGCAATAGGTGCAACACATTTGCACACCCATATTCTTCCCCCCAATGCAATGCAATGCCTAGGAATAATCTACAAACAGCAATAGGTACAACACATTTTACTCAAGGTACTTATTTGCGAAGCGTTCCTCCCCTAATTGGAGAGAAAGGTATCAGCCCACAGTTGCAAATGAATGCAAAAATGAAAATATTCTCGATGATTCCTTCCTGCACCTGCATTTATTTTCAGATCCACAATAAATGCATGACGGGATCGTTGGTAGGGAATGATGTGCAAAGCAACCCTTTTGGGTGCTGCATTCACAGAAGGTGCATTATAAAACCCTTTTGTCACTTAACACTCTTGTTTTAAAATAACAAGCAAAATGTTTAGAAAGCACGGCTGACATATGGATACGGGCAGGGCCCCGCTGAGGAGGAGAGAGTCTTCAGGTCTACTTTTCACTGCCTCGGTGTTTGTGTTTCTTTCCCAAACAGGGAAGGGCTCGTTTTGATTCAGCTCCTTGAAAGCCGATTCTTAAAAGAACACACAAAATGTGCATATATTTCACTTATATGAGTAAACCTGTACACATCAAGAGTTTTGGGAACAAACCCACGCTGCAATTCGGTTTGCCCTGCAACTAGACTAGCGTTTCTCCACCTTCCTCGTGCCGCGGACCCTTAACACAATTCCTCATGTTGTGCTGACCCCCCACCAGAACACTATTTTCCTTGCTCCTCCATAACTGTAATTTTCCTACTGTTATGAATCATCATGTAAGTATCTGAGATGCAGGATGTATTTCCATTATCTAGACCAAATTTGGCACAAATACCTGATATGTCCAAATTTCAATACGGGTGGGGTTGCGGGGGAATGATATTGTCATTTGGGAGTTGTAGTTGCCGGGATTCACAGTTCACCTACAATCAAAGAGCATTCTGAACTCCACCAATGATGGAATTGAAGCAGACTTGGCACACGCAACTCCCATGACCAACAGAAAATACTAGGAGGCTTTGGTGGGCATTGTTTTTGAGTTTGGGAGTTGTAGTTCACCAAACTCAAACAATGATGGATCTGGACCAAACTTTGCACGAATACTCAATATGCCCAAATGTGAACACTGATGGAGTTTGGGGAAAATACAACTTGACATTTGGGAGTTGTAGTTGCTGGGATTTAAAGTTCACCTACAATCAAAGAACATTCTGAACTACACCAACGATGGAATTGAACCAAATTTGGCACACGCAACTCCCAAGTCCAACAGAAAATACTAGGAGGGCAATGATTTTGAGTTTGGGATTTGCAGTTCACCAAACTCAAACAATGATGGATCTGGACCAAACTTGGCTTGAACACTCAATGTGGACATTGGTGGAGTTTGGGGGGGAAAGACCTTGACATTTGGGAGTTGATCAAAAAGTATTCTGAACTCCACCAATGATGGAATCAAACCAAACTTGGCACACAGAACTCCCATGACCAACAAAAAATACTGGAAGGGTTTGGTGGGCATTGATTTTGAGTTTGGGAGTTGTAGTTCACCAAACTCAAACAATGATGGATCTTGGACTAAAGTTGGCACGAATATTTAATGTGCCCAAATGTGAACACTGGTGGGGTTTGGGGAAAATACACCTTGACATTTGGGAGTTGTAGTTGCTGAGATTTACACTTAACCTATAATCAAAAAACATTCTGAACTCCACCAAGGATGGAATTGAACCAATATTGGCACACAGAACTCCCATGACCGACAGAAAATACTTGAAGGGTTTAGTGGGCATTGAGTTTGAGTTTGGGAGTTGTAGTTCACTTACATCCAGAGAGCACTGTGGACTCAAACAATGATGGATCTGGACCAAACTTGGTACAAACACTCAATATTCAAAAACATTGAACCTACTGATGCCTCAGTTAATGCCATTTTATTGGTATCTATTTTTATTTTGAAATTGACCCATAGCTGCTGCATTTCCCACCCTCGGCTTAGACTCGAGTCAATACGTTTTCCCAGTTTTTTGTGGTAAAATTAGATGCCTCGGCTTATATTCGAGTGGGCTTACACGCGAGTATATACAGTAAGCTAATATCGTTTGCACCGATTTAAAGGACCATCCAACCTGTGTTGGCAAACTTTGCTGTCACCTCTAAGGTTCAATAAGGGACCCCTCCGAACTTAGACTTTCAAATAAAGATTATTTCAAAAGCATGTGGGACTGGACTGGGGAGGAAGAGATGATGCTCAGGTAACCTATCCGAATGCACATATTCAGCAAAGTGTGAAAGGTATCAATGTGGAATGAGCAGGAAAGTGCTATGTGTTCCTATTAGCGAGGAGGTGGTGGGTTTTTTGGTGATTTTTTTTGGGTGGTGGGATGACAGCAAACATGTCCTGCTCTAGGCATGCATGAACCAAAATTCTCAGAAGGAAGGCACAAAATCTGAAAGAAGTCAGAAGACTTCACATTCAAATTCCCCCTTGGTTTTTAATTAACGCTGCTACAAGGCCACCGCGGTTTCAAAGCAAAGGCCTGCAGATGTAAAGGGTCTCTTGATTTCATGGCAACCTTCTAGAGCATCATCTCAGTTTGCAAACTTGCATCTATCCGGTGGAAATTTAGGTTGTGAAGTTGGCATGCCCTCTACTTCTTTTGTATCCGCTGTTACGGAAATGACCACTTTTGGTAGCTCTGTGGAAGTCCAAGCAATAAAAGCCTGGTCACTGCCCACAATGGTCCTCCCAGGAAGAGGCTTGGAGCGCGGTGTGTGGGATGTTTACGCTGCCATCATGGCTTGCCAAAATCCACAGCAGCTGATGCCTTCAGGTCAGGTAACAAGCACAAAAAGAAAAGCCACCCTATGTTTCTATGGCTCTTCCGGTGGTAAAAATAGCGGCTGAATTGTCGCGTCTATTTATATGTCCATGTGTGAACTTGTCCTGGTTGCCTTAGAAGGGAGGGCAAACTGGCACCGCACACGGGCTTCAGCCACCTTTCTCAAACTCTCATCTTAAAAATACCGAGCAAACCGAAACACGGAAAACCTGGAACTGATGTAAACGCCAAGATAATTTTTTTTCTATTTTTAGGGAAGAGTGTAGTTTTTCCAACCTCCCCATTTTCAATTCTTCTAGTTTCTTTATCCGTTTCAAAATGACACAATTATCAAAGTAGTGTTCTGACAAAGGGGGCACAACACAACGTTTTCCTTCTACAAAGCATGCAGTACAATCTTGCATCTCTGCAATTATAATAATCTGAAACAGTAAGCAAAGTAAAAAGTGGTACAGAGAGCTTGTTGTTATGTGCCTTCATTTCTGACTTATTGTGATCCTATCCTGCTGTCTTCAGAGATTTTTCTGTGTCTTACTCCACGGCTGAGAGTGTGACTTGGCCAAGGTTGCCCAATGGGTCAGCCATGTGGAGGGCCACACTTGCCTCATCTTCCTTAGAATGGTTTGGAACTGAAATGACTGTTGGAACATCTTATCCTTTTCAATATACAAGGGTTATCCGGAAAGTAAGGTTACAAGGCTCATCTCTCTCATGGAGAATGTTCGAGGGGAAGTTGGTCTCGCTGCCGTGTAGCGGGAAGCCAGCAGAAGCGAACGAGCAGTGTCAGTCGTCAGTAACTCATCAACTGGTATTGTGGTGAAGATTACAGATGAGTGTCCTCATTCCTTTTCCCTCCAAGTGTAAAGTTCGTTATCTAAGGTTATCCGGAAAGTAAGGCTACAAGGAATGAAGCTCTTGCTGGGAATTTTCACGGGGGAAGTTGGTATCACTGCCGTGTAGCAGGAAGTCAGTGGAAGCGAACGAGTAGTGCCAGTCGTCAGTAGCACATCCACTGGCATTGTGGTGAAGGTTAGAGATGAGTGTCCTCATTCCTTTTCCCTCCAAGTGCGAAGTTCGTGCTGTACAAAGGTATCCGGAAAGTAAGGCTACAAAGAATGTAACTCTTGCGGGGAATTTTCATGGGGGAAGTTGGTATCACTGCCGTGTAGTGGGAAGCCAGTGGAAGCGAACGAGCAGTGCCAGTCGTCAGTAGCTCATCGACTGGCGTCGTGGTGAAGGTTAGAGATGAGTGTCCTCATTCCTTTTCCCTCCAAGTGTGAAGTTTGTGCTGTACAAAGGTATCCGGAAAGTAAGGCTACAAAGAATGTACCTCTTGCGGGGAATTTTCACGGGGGAAGTTGGTATCAGTGCCGTGTAGTGGGAAGCCAGCGGAAGCGAACTAGCAGTGCCAGTCGTCAGTAGCTCATCGACTGGCGTTGTGGTAAAGGTTAGAGATGAATGTCCTCATTCCTTTTCCCTCCAAGTGTGAAGTTTGTGCTGTACAAAAGTATCCGGAAAGTAAGGCTACAAGGATCATAGCTCTCATGGGAATTTTCTCGGGGGAAGTTGGTATCACTGCCGTGTAACGGGAAGCTAGTGGAAGCAAACGAGCAGTACCAGTCGACAGTAGCTCATCGACTGGTGTTGTGGTGAAAGTTAGAGATGAGCATCCTCATTCCGTTTCCCTCCAAGTGCGAAGTTTGCGCTGTAATACTCTACCTAAATGCTAAGGGCATGAATTCCATTGTGATTCATTGTGAAATCGTTTCAGTTAACGTCAAGACAGCTTGTGACAAAATGGGTATGAAATATATTGTTAGACCATGAAGAAACTTCACAGAGCCACCCAAAGCAAGTGTCGTGGGATGCTGACGGCGGGAGTCTGTCTCCTTCATGACAATGCGCGTCTACACACCGCTCAAGCGTTGTTGACTTCATTTGGTTGGGATGTTTGAAGCCACCCCTCTCACAGCCCCAATCTCACGCCCAGTAACTATCATCTGTTCACTAAATTGAAGGAACACCTTAGTGGAAAACACTTTTCCAACGAAAAAGGTGAAAATC